TGTGTGTGTGTGTGTTTTGAGACAGAGTCTTGTTCTGTCACCCAGGCTGGAGTGCAGTAGCAAGATCTCAGCTCACTGCAACCTCCGCCTCCTGGGTTCAAGCAATTCTCCTGCCTCAACCTCCTGAGTAGCCGGGATTACAGGTGCCTGCCACCACGCCCTGCTAATTTTTGTATTTTTAGTAGAGACAAGATTTCACCATATTGGTCAAGCTGGTCTTGAACTCCTGACCTCATGATCCACCTGCCTTAGCCTCCCAGCTGGGATTACAGGTGTGAGCCACTGTGCCCAACCTAAGATACTTTGTTTTTAAACTGAAACATTACATTGGTGTCATGAGCTGACATTCCCAGCCACTGACTGGAAGATTTGGGTCAACCCAGAGAACAGGCTTGGCTTAAGGGAGTTCTAATGTTGGTGGCCTTTGGGTAAAAGTATATGTCTATGTTTGTATGTAGGATTCAGAGGGGATTTTCTTTAATGTTAAAAACTGGTTTCCAGCTGGGCATGATGGCTCATGCTTGTAATCCCAACACTTTGAGAGGCCAAGGCAGGTGGATCACTTGAGGCCAGGAGTTCAAGACCAGCCTGGCCAACATGGCGAAACCCTGTCCCTACTAAAAATGCAAAAAAAATTAACTGGGCATGGCAGCAGGCACCTATAACCCCAACTACTCGGGAGGCTGAGGCAGGAGAATCACTTGAACCCGGGAGGCAGAGATTGTAGTGATCAGAGATCGAGCCATTTCACTCCAGCCTGTGTGACAAGGGCAAAACTTCATTTCAAAAAAAAATTCTAGTTTCCTCCGTATTTGCTTTCCTTCTTCCCCTGCCCGCCCTCAGCCAACGCACATGTAATAAATTTTATTTCCCAATAGGTCAAGGAGGTTAAGAAGACTTCATCCGGCTTGGAAGTCAGCCTGGTTACTGCAGTTCCTGGTAGGCCACCCATCATGACCACGATTTCAGATGTTGACTGCCTGCTCTGGGCCATTGGGCGGGACCCAAATTCCAAGGGCCTGAGTTTAAACAAACTGGTAAGCTGGCTTGGTCTGCCCAAAACATTCTTGAATCTACTAGGAGTCTTAAGGTTTTATTCTCCCCCTGCACACCCAAAACTTGGGTGGATTCTGTTGGATTCTTGTCTCTTTGTTCCATGTATCCAGTTTGTGATCAAATTTCATTACTATTTCCTTTGAAATTTAAAAAAAAGTTTCCTTATCCGTTCTTTTCTAGTTTTTTTTTTGTTTGTTTTTTGTTTTTGTTTTTGTTTTCGAGACAAGGTCTTCCTCTGTTACCCGAGTGTTGTGATCATAGCTCACTGTACTCTCAACTCACTGGGCTCAAGTGGTCCTCCCACCTCAGCCTCTGGAGTAGGTGGGACTACATGTGTGCCACAACACCCAGCTAATTTTTTAGTTTTATTTTTGTGCAGATGAGGTTTCACCATGTTGCCCGCCCAGGCTGGTCTCCTCAGCTCAAGCCTTTCACCTGTCTCAGCCTCCCAAAGTGCTGGGACTGTAGGCATGTGCCACCACGCCTGACCTTTTTCTTCTCTGTTTTCTTTTTTTTTTTGAGACAGATTCTCGCTCCGTCACCAGGCACCAGGCTGGAGTGCAGTGGCACGATCTCGGCTCACTGCAACCTTTGCCTCTCGGGTTCAAGCAATTCTCTTGCCTCAGCCTCCCAGGTAGCTGGGATCATAGGCGTATGCCACCACACCCAGCTAATTTTTTTGTATTTTTAGTAGAGATGGGGTTTCACCATGTTGGCCAGGATGGTCTTGATCTCTTGACCTTGTGATCCACCCGCCTCAGCCTCCCAAAGTGCTGGGATTACAGGCATGAGCCACAGTGCCCGGCTTCTTTTTTTTTTTTGAGACAAGGTCTTGCTTTGTCACCCAGGCTAGTGTACAGTTGTGTGATCATAGCTCACTGCAGCCTTGAACTCCTGGGATCAACTGATCCTTCTGCCTCAGCATCCTGAGTAGCTGGAGCTATAGGAGTGTGCCACCACATCTGGCTAATTTTTAAGTTTTTTGTAAAGATGGAGTCTCACTATGTTACACAGGCTGGACTTGAACTCCAAGCCTCAAGTGATCCTTCCACCTTGGCCTCCCAGAGTGCTGGGATTATAAACATGAGCCTCCATGCCCAGCCAGCCTGCCACCTCTAACCTAGTTTCCTACTGGCCTCCCTCTCACAGACTTCGTTTTCGCCATGTGAATGTCTCTTTCAGGTCCTACGCTGATCTCTTAGCATCTGTAGTAGGTAATTCAGATTGCTGTGTGGGTCACTGTCCTGTACATTGTACCCAGGGATGGGAACAGATGATGAAGCTGTTTCTCTTGGCTCTACCTGTACTGTCTATATACGTGGACAGTTGACATTCTTACTTGTTCTTTTAAATGTTGAAGTAAAATCTAGAGTGGGGGCTTGGGGTGAGGTTCCCAGACTTTGACCCGAATTTGAACCTTAGTTCTACGACATAGCAGTTGCATGGCTTTGAGCAAGCAGCTTAATTTCTCTGCTTCAAATGCTTCATATTCACAATGGGAATGAAAGTAGTTCCTGCTGGGCCGGGCGCGGTGGCTCAAGCCTGTAATCCCAGCACTTTGGGAGGCCAAGGCGGGTGGATCACGAGGTCAAGAGATCGAGACCATCCTGGTCAACATGGTGAAACCCCGTCTCTACTAAAACTACGAAAAATTAGCTGGGCATGGTGGCACGTGCCTGTAATCCCAGCTACACAGGAGGCTGAGGCAGGAGAATTGCCTGAACCCAGGAGGTGGAGGTTGCGGTGGGCCGAGATCGCGCCACTGCACTCCAGCCTGGGTAACAAGAGCGAAACTCCGTCTCAAAAAAAAAAAAAAAAGAAAAGAAAGTAGTTCCTGCTTTACTGGGTTATAGAGAAGAGTAAATGAAAACGTGCATGCAAAGTAATTTATAACTGAGACCCTAGCTTACATTATGAACACACTGAATGTTTACCTGCTGTTGATAATGTTGATGATTTTTCTGATATGCTGTACTACTCTATGTAATAATAGAATATTTTATGTTTGAGGTGTACTTTTTTTTTTTTTTTTTTTTTTTTTGAGATAGAGTCTTGCTGTGTTACCCAGGCTGGAGTACAGTGTTGCAATCTCGGCTCACTACAACCTCCACCTCCCAGGTTCTAGCGATTCTCTTACCTCAGCCTCCCAAGTAGCTGGCATTACAGGCATGCACCACCACACCCGGCTAATTTTTATATTTTTTTAGTAGAGACAGGGTTTTGCCATGTTGACCAGGCTGGTCTTGAACTCCTGACCTCAGGTGATCTCACCTTGGCTTTGCAAAGTGCTGGGACTACAGGCGTGAGCCCCTGCACTGAGCCTGAGATGTATGTATTTCATAGAGCCTCTTGAGCAGTGCATACCATTTTGATTTATGTTCTAATATTAATTTCTGTTGTAATGTGGATTCTTTTTTCATTTCTGTAAAAGGTCATTTTTCCTCACGTTAATGTATAAAATATTCAGGGAGACGTTTTGATTGTCTGTAATCTTGTTTAATGACATTTAGTAAAACTAGTTGACCAGGCATGGTGGCTTAGGCCTGTAATCCCAGCACTTTGGGAGGCCAAGGCAGGTGGATCACCTGCGGTCAGGAGTTCAAGACCAGCCTGGCCAGCATGGTGAAATGTCGTCTCTACTAATAATACAAAAATGAGCCAGGTTTGGTGGCACATGCCTGTCATCCCAGCTACTCGGGAAGCTGAGGCAGCAGAATTGCTTGCACCCGGGAGGCGGAGGTTGCAGTGAGCCGAGATCGTGCCATTGCACTCCAGCCCGGGAGACACAAACAAAACTCTGTCTTCAAAAAGATTAAAAAAAACAGCAGCTTTTCACCTCGCAAGAGATAGTTTGCCATTGTACAAATATAAGCACTGGTAGATCCAGTTTTCAACTATATTTGCTAACTTTTCTTTTCTTTTTGAGACAGGGTATTGCTCTGTCACCCCGGTTAGAGTACAGTGGTGCCATCATGGCTCTCTCTGGCCTCACAGCCTCAAACTCCTGGGCTCAAGTGATCCTTCTATCTTAGTCTCCCAAGTAGCAAGATGCTGACTAATTTAAGAAAAATTTTTGGTAGAGACAATGTCTCGCTGTATTGCCCAGGCTGATCTTGAACTCCTAGGCTCAAGTGATCCTCCCACCTTGGCTCTCCAAAGTGCTGGGATTACAGGCATGAGCTGCTGACCCAGCCTATATTTGCTGAATTTTTGAAGAATGAGGCAAATAAAAAAAAAAAGCTTCAGCCTCATTTGACATTAAGATATATTTTTATAATGCAAATTGAGTGATTACTATATTCTAGGTCTTGTCAACATGTTACTAATCTAATATAATATTGCCAACAACAGGCAAGGTATAAGGAAGCCATAAGCACAGAGATACTAGGTAGTTTACTAGGCTGTAAACTCTATGGTGTAGGGAGAATGTCTGTCTTACCATTGTATTCTTAGTGATGAAGTTAAACTCATTTGTTATAGAAGCTCAAATATTTGTTGATAAACAGGTGGGGTTATATAAGGCCTAGTAACTGGTAAGTTACAGAGCTGGGATTTGAATTTTGGTCTGTGTGTACCAAAGCTTGTACCTTTTTTTTTTTTTTTTTTTTTTTGAGATGGAGTCTTGCTCTGTCACCCAGGCTGGAGTGCAGTTGGGCCATCTTGGCTCACTGCATAGGTAGCCATAGAGCTTAAGAGTACAACTGGCCAGGTGCGGTGGGTCACACCTGTAAATCCCAGCACTTTTGGAGGCCAAGGTGGGTGGATCACCTGAGATCAGGAGTTTGAGACCAGCTTGGCCAACATGGTAAAACCCCGTCTCTACTGAAAATACAAAAATTAAGCCAGGCGTGGTGGTTCGTGCCTGTAGTCCCAGCTACTTGGGAAGCTGAGGCAGGAGAATCACTTGAACCCGGGAAGCAGAGGTTGCAGTGAGCTGAGATCGTGCCATTGCACCCCAGCCTGGGTAATAAGAGCAAAAATTTGTCTTGGAAAAAAAAAAAAAAAAAAGGAAGTTCTAATATTTAAATTTTTGATAGAGGCAAAGTCTCACTATGTTGCCCAAGCTGATCTCAAACTCCTGGGCTCAAGGTATCCTCCCACCTCGGCCTCTCAAATGCAAGGATTACGGCTGTGAGCCCACTGTACCCAGCCTGAAACCTGCCAGCTTTAAATGCCTTCAGTGTCGCAGCTGAGTCTCATGGTTTTTCGGAGATTCTGGTACAGTGCCCATGTGAAATGAGGGAGGGAGATCCAGAGGTTTGATCTACCTCTTTTAGTAGGTGGACCAAGTGTTTACATGGTGTCTTTGTAATTTCAGGGTATTCAAACCGATGAGAAGGGTCATATCATAGTAGATGAATTCCAGAATACCAACATAAAAGGCATCTATGCAGTTGGGGATGTATGTGGAAAATCTCTTCTTACTCCAGGTAAACTCTCTTTCCTTCTGTGTGAGGGAGGGTCTGTGTGTTAATCCAGCTCTTCACCATCAAATCTGCTTAAGCAAAACTAAAAGGATGAGTGTTTTTATGTTGTCAAAATGGTACAATTTATTGAAATAGAAACTGATTAGATACCTGACATTTTCTGAATAAAAAACTTAAAATGCTTATCAGACACTGAAATTTTCATGCAGACAATATGGTCAGTTGCCCTTTTCACAGCTCTAAGTTAGGAGCAGATTTGTGCTTGGTGGCAGTGGAAGGAAGTGACATTTGGCAGAAGAAACTTAGATCGGCATTCTTTTTTTTTTTTTGAAACAGGGTCTCACTATTACCCAGGCTGGAGTGTTGGCACCGTCATGGGCTCACTGCAGCTTCAACCTTCCTGGGCTCAGGTGGTCCTCCCACCTCAGACTCCCAAGTAGCTGGGACCACACATGTACTTTTTATAGAGACAGGGTTTCACCATGTTTTAGGCTCAAGCAGTCTGCCTGCCTCAGCCTCCCAGGATGTTAGGCTTACAGGCATGAACCGCCATGCCCATTCTTGTATGACTGTTTGGTGTTGATGCAGCCATTCCTTCTCTCCCTCAGCCCATACCTTACCTGCTTCCTAAGCACCATTTCAAGCTCTATCCCATCTCTATCCATTAATGATGTCATTCAATCTGCTTTCAGTCTGTACCCTTATGGAACCTCATCAGTCATTCTAACACGTCCCAGTGCCTTATATCAAGATGGAAACCTACCCCAGTCACAAACCCAAATCCTTTTAGCTCCTTTAGAAAGTTCTTGCTCTGGGCATGGTGCAGTGGCTCCCAGCACTTTGGGAGGCCAAGGTGGGAGGATCGCTTGAGCCTAGTAGTTTGAGACCAGTCTGGGCAACATAGTGAGACATTGTCTCTATGAAAAAAAAAAAAGATTCTGGGAGCAGTGGCTGACACCTGTAATCCCAGCACTTTGGGAGTGCAGTGGCACAATCTCAGATCACTGCAACCTTCATTTCCCAAGTTGAAGTGATTGTCCTGCCTCAGCCTCCCAAGTAGCTGGGATTATAGGCACACACTACCACGCCTGGCTAATTTTTGTATTTCTAATAGAGATTGGGTTTCATCATGTTGGCCAGGCTGGTTTTGAATTCCTAACCTCGGCCCTGCAAAGTGCTGGGATTACAGGTGTGAGCCACCACACCCTGCCAAGAATAAACTTTTAAGTAAAAAAGCAATTACTGTTAAATAAGGTTATAAAATCGATCTAAAGATGCTCAATTCACGCCTGTAATCCCAACACTTTGGGAGGCCAAGGCGGGTGGATCACTTGAGGTCAGGAGTTTGAGACCAGCCTGACCAACATGGTGAAGCCCCATCTCTACTAACAGTACAAAAATTAGCCAGTGTCACCACACCCGGTGCACACCTGTAATCCCAGCTACTCAGGAGGCTAAGGCAGGAGAATCGCTTGAACCTGGGAGGCCAAGGTTGCAGTGAGCCGAGATCATGCCATTACACTCCAGCCTGGGCAACAGAGCGAGACTTTGTCTCAAAAAAAAAAAAAAAAATGCTCAATACTAATATAGTTTGTTCCATAAATATTGTATTAAAAAGCTAATATCTTCATTAAGTAGATTAGCTGCCAGGTAAGTGAGAACTTGTGAGTGTGTCTTTGGGTGTGGGACCAGACAGGCTAAGCATCCCTTATCTGAAATGCTTGAGACCAGAAGTGTTTTTAATTTCAGATTTTGGAATATTTGCATATACATAATGAGATATTTTGTAGATTCGACCCAAGTCAAAACATGGAATTCGTTTGTTTTACATACACCTTATACACATAGCCTAAAAGTAATTTTATACGATATTTTAAATAATTGTGTACATGAGACATAGTTTTGTCTGTGTTTTGACTAGTGGAATTTTCCACTTGTGGCATCATGGTGCTCAAACATTTTGGATTTTGGATTTTGAATTTCTGGCTTAGGGATACTCAACCTGTAATAGAATGTGTAGAATTCTCATAAGCCAGTCATTTTGAGTTGTTTGCTGAAGCATGGTATGTCCTCATTATATTTAACTATCTAGATCGTGTAATGACCAACGGCATGAAACTGTCAGAACTAGGGCATTAAGCTAGATGGATAAATGGCTAGTGGAACAATTCTGCTATGTTAAAATAGATAGTAAGATAAACACTGATTTTAAAGTATCTCCATAGTTGCAATAGCTGCTGGCCGGAAACTTGCCCATCGACTTTTTGAAAACAAGGAAGATTCCAAATTAGATTACAACAACATCCCAACTGTGGTCTTCAGTCACCCACCTATTGGGACAGTGGGACTCACGGAAGGTGGGTATTTAAAACCAAAGGACATTTGTGGTTTCCTTCCTCTTCCCCCCACCCCCAACTTTAAATTAGGTCTCTGTCAGCTGATGAAATCTATCTCAGCCCCAACTTACATTGCTTTTTGGTTACTCTCTTATCACACTTCCGGTTTTCTCCCCTACTACTAATACTCTCACAGGACAGTATCTTTCCTTCACCCTATCTCTGAACTTTTTTTTAGCTTTTTTATTTTAACTAATTTTAAATTTAAAGAAAAGCTGGCTGGCACGGTGGCTCACGCCTGTAATCCCAGCACTTTGGGAGGCCAAGGCGGGGGGATCACGAGGCCAAGAGATCGAGACCATCCTGGCCAACATGGTGAAAACCCGTCTCTACTAAAAAAAAAATACAAAAATTAGCTGGGTGTGGTGTCGTGCACCTGTAGTCCCAGCTACTTGGGAGGCTGAGGCAGGAGAATTGCTTGAATCCAGGAGGCGGAGGTTGCAGTGAGTCGAGATTGTGCCACTGCACTCCAGCCTGGTGCCTGGCGACAGAGCAAAACTCTGTCTCAAAAAAAAAAGGAAAAAAAGAAAAGCTATAAAAATAGTACAAAGCATTCCTCGTCTCTAACCTTCATATTTTTGCTCTTTCATTTTTCACTCTATACATACACACACATACACACATGTATAGCTTTCCTAAGAACTGGCCCTTACACAAACAGAGTATCATTTTCTTTCTTTCTTTCTTTCCTTCTTTCTTTCTTTTCTTTCTTTCTTTCTTTTCTTTCCTTTCTTTTCTTTCTTTTCTTCCTTTCTTCCTTTCTTTCCTTTCTTTTTTCTTTTCTTTTCTTTCTTTTTTTTTTGAGACAAAATGCCACCACTCTGTCACCCAGGCTGGAGTGCAGTGGCGCGATCTTGGCTCACTACAACCTCCGCCTTCCAGGCTCAAGTGATTCACCTGCCTCAGCCTCCCAAAGTGCTGAGATTACAGGCATGAGCCACTGTGCCTGGCTTTTCTTTTCATCTAGAGGCAAAATTCCTCAGCTCTTCTTTTATCTTATATGACATTGACATTTGTTTTGTAGAATGCCTCTTATTTTGGCATGATTTGATATTTCCTGGCGGTTTGATTCAGATTATGTATGTCTGGTCCTCTCCCTATTTAATAGTTCATTCTAATTGTTTAGTTTTCTGATAGATGCTTCTTTTAATTTGCGTTATAGATGAGGCCATTCATAAATATGGAAAAGAAAATGTGAAGATCTATTCAACCAGCTTTACCCCGATGTATCACGCAGTTACCAAAAGGAAAACAAAATGTGTGATGAAAATGGTCTGTGCTAACGAGGAAGAAAAGGTAAGGAAAATCGAGCAAACTAAATAGTGCTTTGCAAAGTGGACAGGGAGGGCAGTTTTTGTAGGGGTAGAAAGGAGGGAGACCAAGCAGTTAAGCCTTCTAATTCAACTGAACAGGCCCACTTTGATCTGTCCTACATATATTTTGGGATTCTTCATACTATTTCATCTAGGAGGTTCCACTTACTTTAAAAAATGAGGAGGCTGGGCGCGGTAGCTTACACCTGAAATCCCAGGATGTTGGGAGGCCAAGGCAGGCAGACCACCTGAGGTCAGGAGTTCGAGACCAGCCTGACCAACATGGTGAAACCCTGACTCTACTAAAACTATAAAAATTAGCTTGGTGTGGTGGTGGGCGCCTGTAATCTCAGTTACTCAGGAGGCTGAGGCAGGGGAATTGCTTGAACCTGGAAGGCAGAGGTTGCAGTGAGGGTGACAAAGCAAGACTCCATCTCAAAAAAAAAAAAGGAAAAAGACCTGGCGTGGTGCCTAGCACCTGTAATCCTAGCATTTTGGAGGCCAAGGCAGGCAGATTGCCTGAGCTCAGGAGTTCAAGAGTAGCCTGGGCAACATGTGAAACACTGTCTCTACTAAAAATATAAAAATTAGCCAGACGTGGTGATGCCATGAACGTCCCTCAGTGGCCTACAATTTCTGGATATTGAATCATGAAGGCTCCTACTTAGTTATTTCTTCATACCAGTTATCATTCATTCAGTTGATAAACATTACTTGACAATCTTCTAAAGACTAAGAAATACAACATGGAGTGAAATCATCTGAAGGTCCGGCCATCATATAAGTTCAATTAAGATCACAACATCAGCCAGACACCATGCCTCACGCCTGTAATCCCAGCACTTTGGGAGGCTGAGGTGGGTGGATTGCTCGAGCCAGGAGTTCAAGACCAGCTTGTGCATCATGGTGACACCCCATCCCTACAAAAAATACAAAAGTTAGCCAGGCATGGTGGCGGGCACCAGTAATCCCAGCTACTCAGGAGGCTGAGGCAGGAGAATCACTTGAACCAGGAGGCGGAGGTTGCAGTGAGCCGAGATTGCTCCACTGCACTCCGTCTCTAACAAAAACAAAAAGTTAGCCAGGCATGGTGGAGCATACCTATAGTTCCAGCTACTCGGGAGGCTGAGGTGGGAGGATGGTTTGAGCCTGGAAGGCAAAGTTACAGTGAAACGAGATGGCACCACTGCACCCCAGTCTGGGTGACAGAGCCAGACCCTATCTCCAAAAAATAAAATAAATTTAAAGAAGGATCACAGTACCTAAAAATCTGGCCATGTTTAATACATTTACAATACTTCATTTTTTTTTTTTTTAATTGAGGTACACTTTTAAAAAATTGCTGCAGAAAACACAAAGCAAAATCTATCTTAACCATTTTTACATATACAGTTCGGTAGCATTAAGTATATTTTTAATTTGCTTTTTATTTTTACTTATTTTATTTTATTTATTTATTTAGAATGATAAGGTTTTGCTGTTGCCCAGGCTGGAGTGTAATGGTATGATCTCAGCTCCCTGCTGTGTTGACCTCCCAGGTTCAAGTGATCCACCTCAGCCTCCCAAGTAACTGGGACCATAGGCACAAGCCACCACACCCAGATAACTTTTTATTTTTTGTAGAGATGGGGTCTCCCTACATTGCCCAGGCTAGTCTTGAACTCCCAGACTCAGGCAATCCTGGTAGCTCAGCCTCCCAAAGTACTGGGATTACAGGCGTGAGCCACTGCACCCAGCCTAATTTGTTTTTAAACAAATTACTTTTGTGGCTAAATTTTATATTTTGTAATCTTGCTTTCCAATGGAATATTTTACTCTAAAAGTATTTGCTGAAGGTAAACATTAATAGCTCTTAATATCTTGAACCCTCACTGGAGAATGTGATTTGAAACAAGTACCCCTTCATAATCATTCACGCAGCTAACTAGCCTGTGTGGACTGAGCACCTTTTAAATGCCCAGCTTTGTGCTCAGCCATGGGGATGAAGTGGGGAGCAGAAATAAGAAGGGTCCCCTTTATCCAGAAATGAAAATCTGCTGGGAAAGATGGACAGTAATTATCTACTACCACCCAAAAATATAGCATTTAAGTATCATATAAAATATAATAGAATCATGAAGAGGAAATATTACCACTGAGAGGTCATGTGATGGAGAATTTAACTTGGTCAGAGAGATATAACTATGGAGCTGTCTGAATAATGAATGGGCTTTAATTCTGAAAAGAAGGAAGGAAAGGCTGGATACAGTGGCTTATTCCTGTAATCCTAGCACTTTGGGAGGCCAAAGTGGG